ATAAAAGTAAACTCAGTTAAATGATATTCCTTTGTTAAAAGATCACTTAGTTGTCTGATAAATCTTGCATGAGGGAGCTTCCTTTCTGTCAAAAGTTAGTGTTTCTTCTCAGTTAAGTAGAGACTTCTTCAGGAGTCTTAGCAATAGAGGAAATGACCGGTCACCCCTCAGCTACACCTACAACCTGATAGCATCCTGTCCGTAACATGGGTGATTAAAGAAAAACATATAGTTGTTTTAATTTTGAATCAAAATAACCACTTTTCTCCGACGAGGCTTAGAGGGAAATGATTTTAAAAAGTCTCCCTGTAAAGAAAAGACTACTTCGAGGAGGGACGGTGACCAGACAAGGAGGGGCGGGGGGAGCAGGAGAGCCAGCAGTAAAAATAAACACAAAGCCATGGAGAAGGTCAACAGGCCAGTGTGAACCACAGGCCATCTGATCGCTCCGAACACCCTGGTCTGGGGCCTCGGCTGCTTCTGCTCTCCCTCCGGCACGGAAACGGTGCACATGTGTGTACTGAGTGGTGTGTGTCTGTACACACAAAGATTTATCAGAGAGTACAGGGGGAATGAGAAAGTGCCCAGCCTGGTTTTAATTTGAGTCTGTTTGCTTGCATTTAGCACTTAAGGGCTTCTACATTCCGCTTGCTCAAAAGAGTGATGGCGCACTCCTTGCTTATGCCTCAAATCAGAAATGCATGAGGTGCAGCTGCAGAGATAATACATTTTCCCCAAAGGCTTTGGCTGAGCAAATTAGGTGTCAATGGGGTGCCCGCGCAGGCAGTACTCTCTCTAATTAGTCTCTTGAGCCTAGTTGGTGGCGGGTACGAGATGATCTAATCAATTGGTCTGTGTCTGATGGTTGGTGTAAAAATCCTAGCAGGCAGACTCTTTCCCACAGGTCACCCACCTGCACAGCACGGCTCCTCATTTTCACTTCTCATCTCCTCTATCACATGACGCGGACAGTTGGTTTTAAGAAAATTGAATCCAAAAAATATCTAGTTCATAGGGCGCGTGGGTCAGAACAAAGTTGCATTATGGGTACCAGTGATTCAATTAATTAATATTTATAGCTGAGATGCTCTATGTAGATACTTCTGAGTAAGGATTCTGTCAATCGAGTCAATCGAATCTTCTTTAAAACACTCGTTTTAGAGAAGGCTCATTATGGAAACCAGATAAAAATGGCGCCCACCTGCCTTGTGATTTACGTACTAGGATTGGCTGTGCGCACTGGCCATCCATCCAGCTTATCCTTCATATTCACTGTTCATTTGCATTGTGCGTCCCATGTGCTTTATTAACAACCAAATGTAAGGGAGATTTACAGTCGCATCGTTACTTATCTGTCAAAGCAAATCTTCATTCCATCAGCCTAAATCCCCACCTGTGAAATACCTGATTGCACTTAGATTCCTAAAAATGTTTTATGTGCCTTCAGTAAAACTTGAACGTAATGATGCCCAAGTCAAGAGGATGAGCATCCCGTTCTCTGTTAGAGCATTAGGCAAGGAAATGGTGTGATATGAGCTGTTCAGAGTCATCACAGAGGTGGGAGGTGTGCTGTCATGGGTGCCTCCTCTGTTTTCTTGTTCTTAGATTCTTCCACTAAACGCCAGAACTCAAAACTAACCCCTGCACTGATCACTTACCAGCCAATTAGTGCTCGTGTGTGGTCCTTGCTATCTAATTCTGCTACCCCTTAGGTTAGGCATTTATGATTCTCCTAGAGATTTCAGCCAGAGTCAGGTCAATGCAAGACCAAATAAACAGTATCAGTGTGTAGAAAACATCTTTAATGAACTCAAGGGAATAGTAAAGTGTATGGTGTTAACATAACTTATTGTTATGTGAAGTAACATATACTTGAAATCAAAACATTCCTTTTGAATATAATATAGTAGAGAAAAAAAGTATGTTTTTCCTATACCAAAGAATAAATCCTTCCCTCTATCCTGACTGGTGACGTTGTGTCTGCCAATAGCTTTCTTCTCTATACAGAGCCAAGTGGGCACTGCGGCTGAAGTAGCTGCCTAGTACTGCCTGTCGTAGCCACAGGAAAGAACTGTTGAGCTTCAGGGAGTGCGCCATTCCCACCCATCCCTATGCTTTCAGATCCTTCCTTTTTCTTTACAGTTCTTCGTCAACTGCTTACCATGTGCCTGGGTTATGCCTGTGCCCTGCTCTGGGTACACCTCGGTTTAGTCGGCCATATAATTAGTCCCCATGCATGGAATAGAAAGGGCATCTCTGTCATCTACTTAATAAGAATGTCAGAATTGGTAGGGAGATAGGGTTGTGGGAATACCATAGGGTCACGTGCTCTCTCTCCTTGCTCTCAAGGACCTCAGGAAGAATTTTCATGCAGAGTTCGGAATGGGTACTGATGTAACAATGCAAAGGAGCAAAGTGCATTTTCTCTGTTTCTCTGGGAGGAAGGGGTGCGGTGGGGCTCTAGGGGTGTTTCCATGTCATTGCTCTGCTGTGGTTGTGACTTCTTCTAGAAGAGACTTAATGAATGTCCCTATGAGTGGAAATGAGGGGTGAATTCTTATGGCTAAAGGATGCTAACCAGAGCAGCAAACATTTGCAATAGCATTGGAGAGGTGGGAAAGGGCTTCTGTGCAGTGTCTCTCCAGCCAGCCAAGGCCTCTCCAGAAACGTGATTTACATCCCCTCCACTCAGGTGGCAGAGAACTCTCAAGAACAGAAGGTGATCCCGACTTCATGCCATACCCAAAATATATGAACGAACTGAAACTGCAGGAGGTCGTAGAAGAAAACATAGCACGTAATCTTTCGGTTCCGCTTTGCATTTTTTTTAATGTGACACCAAAAATATAAGCAATGCAATAAAAAGATGTAAGCTGAACTCATTCAAATTCCAAAGTATGGTGTCACTGGCAATCCATACCAGAAATTTATTTTCAAATTGTATATTTGATGAGAAATTAATGTCCCAAGTGTATGAAGAACCGCAGCTCGGCAGCGAAACAAAATGAATTATAAAGCGGGGAAAGACTGAATGGATATTTCTCTGAAGAAACATTTCCATCTGGCAGATAAGCTCATTAAAGCTGTGTTCGGCACCACTAACTATTAGGAAAGGCTAATCAATAGGAGTAAGTCAGCCATCACAAAATAATTATAGTTTCAAAATAAAAACAAATAACAAGTGTGGGCAAGGGTCTGGTGAAATGCAAGCATGTCTTTACCGTGGGTGGGAAGCTAAACAGTGCCTTCACTATGGAAAGTTGTGTCGTTTCCCAAAACTTTAAAAGTTGAATTTCTGTTTGATCCGAGAGTTACATCTGCAGGTGTATAAGCAAAAGATTCAGATCTGGTATTAGAGCAGACACTCACCATATCAGTTTTACAGCAGCCACGGGGTAATACAGTTCGAGTGTGTGTTAACTGATACTTAACACGGTAAGGACCGTGTGATATAGCCATATAATGAGACGTTACCTGAACCTTTTATAAGATAATGAAGTACTGGTCCATACTACAACATGGTGAACCTTAACAACATAATGCGAGCGGGGAGCTGCCAAATACGACAGATCACACATTGCCCACTCCTCTCTGAACAGGTAGCTCCATAGACAGTCAGATAGTTGGTGCTAGTCAGTGGGTGTGGCAGGAGACCATGCGAATGGCTGCTGGGAATGGCATCGCCTCCTTAGAAAGTGCTGAGAGAAAAACAGTTGTACAGGATTGCGGTTGGACCAAGTACCACCCAGTTATATGCCTTCAGATGGTTGGTTTTGTGTTATATGAATTTCGTCTCCCTTAAAAATAAAACTAAAGGTGAGGGTAAAATTCTAAAACATCATCAGGGTAAGTGAAGATCAGTAGAGGGTAGGGGTAATGTTGTTCTCATGTATCGTAAGTATAAGAATGGAACTTCTTGCTCTCTTGGTTCATATACCGCTAGTTCCTACGGGGCAGGGAATGTCCTCAATGCTGCAGCCCATGGGAGCAGCATCAGGACAAGGGTCTCTGAAATAGATCTCTGGGGGCAGCCCTGGGTAGGCAGGGATCACAAACAAGCTTCCAAGCCTAGTTGTTCTGGGGTGAAGGAGAACTGAAGCATTAACTCCTTCAACTGTGGGACTTGACCTTGAAATGAGATCCCCCCCCCCCCCAGATGTCCTCTTTCCTTCCCAGAGTTCAACAAAGATGAGTAAGAGCTTTGTAAAAAATGTATGGAGAGGGCTGGTGAGATGGCTTAGTGGTTAAGAGCACTGACTGCTCCTCCAGAGGACCCGGGTTCAATTCCCAGCACCCACATGGCAGCTCACAACTGTCTGTAGCTCCAGTTCAAGAGAACCTGACATTGTCATACCAATGTGCATGAAATAAAGTTGTTTAAAAAAAAATGTATGGAGAGATGTACAAGGAAGATGCCTTCATTTGCAATGACAACCTTGCCTACAATGGGTTCCCAGTCTCAAGCCAATGTTTTTGGAAGCTTGAAGGCTTGTGCGGAAAGTTGGGCCAGCTTCCATGCTGGTGAATCTAATGTAACTGATAATATGCAACTAAGGAATTACATGGCTGGGTTTTAAAGGCATGTGTGTGATCCACTTTTCTCTTTCACATTCATACAAACAAACATGATGCTCTGTCCTTCTAATGATCTACTGCTCCGGGCACTTAATTCAGACCAGCATTGCCTCTAATAATTTAGGGAAGGAATTTAGTTGGGTGTATTTATCTCTAAGTAGTCTGAGAGGAATTTAGCCCACTTAAATGCATGGGCGTTCAGTGTTTCAAGGGAAGAAAACAGTCAGGACATTTGTTTATCATTTTTAAGAGAGGTTTTCATAGAGGAAATTGTTCTGCCTCCAGTGTATGTGCTTGGCGGAGCTGCGCAGAGCAGCAGTGGTTCACTCCTGCCCGACCAATTTTAGTGTTTCAAGCAATATAGTAAAAATGAATGATGTAAGTTTTTTTCTTAATGCAACAGTTTTCTCTTTTCCTTCTTCCAGGATTAAGTTGTCATCATTCTGAGAAGAAAAAGAAGAAGAAAAAAATACAAAAAGAAAAGACCACTAATGAAGTGGCCCACAGTGCTGGGCTCCTGGACCAGTTCCCTTCTGCCCCCTGTGGTGGATTTCACTTACAAGAAAATTGAAACTGGCAAGACCCTGTTTTCTCTGCAATTTATTTAAAACCTTGCACGCATTTGGATACCTTGTGATTTCCAAGAACTATGTGAAGATTACGCTTTGCTTACTGATACGTGGCATGTATCCTTTTCAGTCTTTTGTGTTTGATTCTGTTTGATTTCCCTCTGCTGCACAGTATCTCTGTGACGGGTTTTATGCTTTCACCAGCCATGTCTTAAATACATTAAGACAACACATTTGGTGTTCACACTTCCTCTGTAATGTCTGCACTTGAAAGCCACACAGTGGCATGAAACAATGTGTGTTTTCTTTGAGAACAGAATACATTGTGCAACCACCAGGAAGGACATTCTTATTGCTAAAACAAACCCCATGTTCTGACTGACTAGACACCATGGTCCCAGACAGCAGGACCCGACGACTTGTTGCTTACCTTCGAAGACATTTGGAAATGTGGGCTTTCTTTTATTATTGGAATTGTCCCCACATTTATGGGTGCCCAGAACTGCTTAGCATTTCCAATGGCATGGCTGTTTCTGAGCAGGCTGTAGCTAGAGAAACAAGCACCAAGAACAAGGATGAAGATGAAGGCTTCTTTTTTCTTTTTTCTTTTTTAACCTGTAGAAAGCAAGTCAGTTTTTACATGTGTTCTGGGTCTTGTCAACATCTGATTTCTTTTCCCCATCAGCTCTGTTACGCTCTGTGTTTTTTAACTGGAGAAAATAGTGAGGAATATCTTTCTTAAAACTTGGGTGCAAAAAAAACAATTTGTCTGTCAGGGCGAGTCCTGGGAGCCGTCTTTGCCAATTAATGCTTAAAAAGCAAGTTTAAAAATTATCTAGAGTTAAAATTTTGCTCACTTACAACAAAGCACCTTTGAATCAGATTGTTCAGACATATTCCAAGCCGCTCAGAAGGCACCGCTGGGTACCAGACTTTAAACCACTCTCCCGTAATAAGTGTTCAAACTCAGTTCTTAAACAATGCGGGAATTTTGCTTTAAAAATAGAAATGGCAAAGAAAGGCCTGGATTCCCTTGTTTTAAGGCACTCTGGGGCTTTGGAAGATGAAGTCTGTGTCACTGGGCACACATTGCACCTTGGTCTGGGGGGAGCTGCCCGGTGCAGGTGTCTCCCACAGTCAGCCTCACTACAGAATAAGGAGGGGCTGGGGGCTGGGACAGTTAGGAAATGTCACATAAAGCATGCCCTTTGCACCTCTGGACACAAATCTCCACACATTGCTCTGTGTTCTACTACTCCTGAGAAAAGAGAAGAAACTACAAGCTTGAGATGTGTCACGCAGTTTTAGGATCAAGACCAGGAATTATGATCCAGTTTGTGACAAGGGCTTTCTGATTCTCGAATGAGTATCGAAGCCAGTAGTCAAACCCAGAATGCCCCTGGAAGTAGAGCCATGTTCTTAAAACTCTCAAAGGCGTTGTCTCTGAGTGATAGGCATAACCAACCATCTAGCCTATCCGGAGGGAGAAGTACTTACAATCTCGAAAACACAAAGCAAGGAATTGCTTCCCGGATGGTTTGAAAGAAGGCAGAGTGTCTCTCAAGGTGACCCCGTGTACTCTTTGTGTCTCTCAAGGTGACCCCGTGTACTCTTTGTGTCTCTCAAGGTGACCCCGTGTACTCTTTGCTACCTGGGAATCGTTTTCATACCTCTTTCTCACATTCCTTCTGCGGGAAGTCTTTGCAGGTATTTTGACTTAAAGTATAATTAAATTGGGAGTTCTTTAAGTGAGGAGAAAACTTTACATGTAATTCAAAACAGCCTCCCCTGTGGTTTGCTTAGAATCCTCCATTCATCTGAGTGGCGGGGAGGAGGCATCGTGTTTGTATTTCACCAAGTAAAAGTCAGGGCTCCATGCTAACGTTGGAGGATTTCGAGTGAGCAATGTAAAGGCCACTAGAAATCCGTGCCCTTGTCTAGACAGCGTCTCCTGGGAAGGAAGGCATAGCACTGCTCAGTGTGGGGTCTGCCCCAAGTCACGCCCATCTCTCAGGTTAGAAGGGTTTTAGTTTTATGTCCCTGTCATCAAGGAAGGACATCCAAAGTGTCCCCCCAACCCAACCTGGCAGAGTCCTATCCCCCATACCCTGTTTTTCTCTCCCGCCCTCTCTGAGGGCATCATGAAAATCCGTGCAGACGGCGTCCATTAACATGTTAGTATACAGTAGAGAAAGCGCTGGAATGCTGGGGAGATTATTTTTCTATGAAGGAGTCACTTGAGTTTGGACAGCTGACAATAGCACGGACGCCTTGACGTGGTGATTGTATCAGCTCAACCTCACTGCACACAGTGTTTGGAAAGGAAGTATGGGACTCAGTTTCCATCTTCTTAAGGGGAACACCTTAATTAATTAATTAAGACATACAAGACACATAGGATGCAAACATGTGTTTGCTGTGCCAGGCCAGAAAGTCGAGGGGTATGAAGCAGGGGCAGTCATCTCCCACTGCGCAAGGATGAGACTCTGTTTCCAGCTCTCAAATGACTAGAAGTTTCCGAGGGAGCCTGTGGGAATGTAGGAAAACCAGGACCTCTTGGTGCCCTGTCCTGTGTGTATACGACAGCCACTGTAATCAGTACCCTATGTATGCGTCCACAGCAGACACCCATCTGTGAATAGTACGGTTTGTAATCTTCTGTTATATAAGAGGATGTTTAGGTTGTACATACTGGGGTAGATCGTTGCCTGCCCCTATACATAGAAAACATGCTGCATACTCGTGCATAACTTCCTTCTTCATCCCCGGCTTGTACACGGGGGAAACTGTACATTAGTCTTCCATTTCCTCATATACCAAACGGGAAAATTTTAAATCTCCAATGAAATAGGCAATTTCCTATTCTCACTGCCCCCTCTCACAGCAGCGTGTGTTAGAGGCACATATTAAATCAACACTCTTGGTTTGTGAGTGGACTTTCGGGTTTTTTTCTCATTTCCTTTTATTTCTCCCCCCGCCCCCCTTTGTTTATACGAGGCGCCGGGTCGTGTGCTACCTAACAGGGTTAGCACCTCAGATAATCATCAGGCTCCAACATGACACATAGCAAGGGGAGTGGGATACTACATGTTGCATATGTGTTACCGATTGTAATTTGTCTGTACTATGAAGGATGTAATGGTTTGTCCACTGTCATTGTTGTTTTCTGTAACATGATACGGAATAAAGTATAGCCAAATCTGCAGATGTCATCTTGGTACATAGCCCTGTGTATCCAAAGCAGCTGAAGACTCAACACGGTTCTTCTGAAAGAGTGACGTAAGAGATCAGGTGCGCAGTATATGGGAACAAGTGGGTTCCTGGAGGATTCTAGAAACCCTGCAAGTCTTCCCCTTTCTTTCTTTGCTGTGCCAAATTTGGGGTAGAAACTCGGGGGGCCCTGTGCACCAAATCTGTGAGCCACAGGGCTTCCCCTGGCTCCGTGCTCATGTTCCCACATGTTCCCCTAGCCCACACATCTGGAGCCTCTCTTATTTGTTGGTTGCGGTCGTCTCTCTCTTTTACCCACGTCTGTCTGGCCTTCCACATATCCCCATGTGTGGTAGGAGCTGCGGGCTGCGTTCTGCCACCCAGCTCCCGCCACTGGCTAGCTTATGCCTCAAAATAACAACACACAAACTGTATTCATTTAAACACTGCTTGGCCCACTAGCTCTAGCCTCTTATGGCTAATTCTCATATTTTGCCTAACCCATTTTTAGTAATCTGTGTAGCACCAGTCTTACCGGGAAAGATTCAGTATGTCTGACCTGGTGGCTTGCTTCATCGCGTCTGCCCAGGAGAGGGGAGCATGGCCTCTCATCTGCCCCACGGCTCCTCGGCCCCCAGCCTCTCCCACTGCTGTCTCTAAGGCACAGAGGCACCTGGGTAAATTCGATTTGAGACGGTTGCTCCATCACCACCTCTGTATGTTGAGTTAGGGTTCTGTGTACATGTGGTCTTCACAATAACCAAAGTAGCAATAGTTTGCAAATTGGGGAATCCATAAGTTACTGTGGAAAGCAAGCAAAGTCACATAACTGAAAAAAGAATAACCTGTCCTAGGGAGGTGTTTAAAGGAGCCAAGCAGAGGGCCCTCTTCACTCCCCCTCGGCAGCTGGCGTCCATTGCAGCTCTTAACTGCCTGCCACCGTTGGCGTAATCACGGGAGCTCTTCATAAACCAAAGGGGAAATGCGGCACTGGAGTCTACCAAAGGCAAAGAAATACATCTGAGAAATATTTTTAACTTTCTTAAAGTGGTGGCAGAGGTGTCAAGCACCCTCTGAGTTCCATAATTACCCAGCATTCCTTCTTTTCCAGCAGGGACTGTTCTATCTCTGGCAGGATGTGATGTGTGCCTTCTGAGCCGGGCAGGTAGAGTCTGGAGGACAGCACTCTCGCCATTGCTTCTGGTCCTCGGAGTGTAGAGCAACCAGAGGGGAAGGTGTTGGGGCAACCTTACGCCACCGGGTTAACACGTGCAGTTGCTGAATAATGGCAGGCATTGTGAATGCCTGCAATGAGGACCCCACAGTGGCCCAGCAGCCTGCTGCTACCAGTGGGTGGTGGCGTTATGGGCATTAGCTCTGAGAAGCTTATATAGCAGAGGGGCTAGGATAAAGGACACAAATCAGAAGAAAACTGACAAGATTTAAAAAAAAATCCGAGGCCTCGTATTTACTGTTCATCCCTCTTGCTCTCCGTGTGCTGCATTGTCTGCGGTGAGTCGTGCTGAGAAGGAGCCGGGCTCAATAATAGCTCAGAGCAGCCTCGCGGCCCCAGAACCATCCTGTGCCAATGGTGCCCACAGAGCTAGCCGAGAATAGGATTCTGATAGAGTTGTCTTTTTCCCCCTTCCCTGTGAGATCACCAATAATTATGGAAGGCATACTGCCAAGACAAAGGAGAGGTGGCCTGTCGGAGTGCATCCTGAACAGGGACCCCACAGGGATTTCTGCCCTGCAGCCCGAGGGGGCCTGCCTGACACGTGTACAAGTCCCGAGACGTCCGAGGACACGTCTGAACTGCCGGCTCAAGGGCAGAGAGAAGCTCAAAACTGAACTTTCCTAGTAACGCCATGGAGAGGAACAATGCTTTCTCTCTCTCTGTCAGCCTCAGTAACTGCCTGGCTTCCTCAAGACAGACTGCAGTTTACTGTGCTCCAAACCCACCTGGGTCTGTGACTGTCTTGCCTAGAAGTCACTTGGGAAGCTCAGACCCTCCTGCAGTCATTCACTAATCCGGTGGCTCTCAGCCCCGGCTCTTGCTGGAATTACCAGGAAGTTTTAAAAGTGCCTCCACCCCAAACCAATTCATTCCAGAACTATTGAGGGTGGGGACCTGGCACGGATTTGTTTGGGGAACTCAACAGGTGATTGTACTGTGCAGCCAGCGTGGGAACTGCCAGGCTGTCTTTCCTCCTGTCTGTGTTCCCCTGGAGAGGCAGGTGGCACTTTCTCTGCTTGGGCCAGAGAGTAAGAACTTTTGTCTTTCCAGCCTGTTCAAAACGCCACAGCTACCTACTTTACCACTGTGGTGCAAAAGTGGCCGTTCTCAACACACACGGGCAGTGTTCAGAGGAGATGACTAGCACACTCAGTCTTGGGTTTCTTGTAATTTTCACCTGCAAGAAATATTGTCTTGATTTTTAAAAGGCATTTAGAAGTATAAAAATAGGGGCTGGAGAGGTAGCCCAGTAGAAAGAGCAATTGCTATTCTGCAAGGACAGATTCCCAGCACCCACATGAAGGCCCACAACCATCCATAACTCCTCTTCCAGGGCATGTGACTCTCTTCTGACCTCCGTGGGTACCAGGTATTCACAGTGTGCACACGTATACATGCAAGCAAAATACTCATGCAAATAAAATGGAAACAAATCTTTAAATCTTGGTTTAGGATGGAGCTAATTGTCTCACTCATAGGAATGCCTGCGATTCTCCCTGTTTGTGCTTCATGGAGAACACATCATTTAAATACAGGCTTCCTTTTTTGCCACCCCTTTCATATAAGAAAGTTTTACAGTGCTCTGGATATGTAAGTATAGAAAATAGATACACAAATCAAACATTTGCTCATAGTACATCATAAATAAGTTTATTTTAGGGCTGGAGAGGTGACTCATCTGACAGAAGTACCCTCAGACAAACCCAACAACCTGTTTCCATCCCTGGGACTCAAGTGTGGAAGAAGAGACTCAGCTGCCTGAAGTTGTCCTCTGACCTCAACATGTGGCCCATGGTGCATACTATTACACACACATACACAATAAATAAATGTCAAAAATTGTAATTAAAAATTAATTAAAAATTTTCAGTATAAAAATAATTATACCTTTTCTTAAAAACAAAAGGAAATGAGTATGCTAGTGAGGTGAATGTGGTTAGTTATTTTGACAGCGAAAATTACATTTTGGCAGAATATTTGATATTACGGGACACAGAACGTCTTCAATGATTTCCAGATCTCCGTGTTTTGATTCTACTATTGCCAATGCTAAGAACTGTGGCACCTCAGAAAAGGAAAATCTGCCGTAATCCCAAGACAAGAGTTAGTCATTATTCATGAAACTCAAATTAGCAACTTGGACATCAATTGTTAAAATTCAATGTTCTTAGCATCATGTGTTTTAAGTGTACTCATTTTATACTTACATGTTGAAGAATCATGGCAGGGAATTATTAAAAATCTTTTTTAAAGTTTTATTTTATGCAGATGGCTGCTTTGCTGCCTGTATCTGTGCACTGTGGGTATTCAGGTCCCAGGAAGAGAGAAGAGGGTTGCCAAGTCCTCCAAAGCTGGGGTTACAGACAGTTGTTAGGTGCGGGAAAGCAAACCTGGTCGGCTGGGAAAAACAATATGTGATGTTAATCACTACACCTTCTTCTAGCTCCTTAAAAGTATTTTCCATAATGAAACCATGTGGCTCTTGAAAAGCAGGAAGTCTTCTGTGGATAGTAAAAGCGCTATGGTCTATTGTACCCATCACTAGCCATGGATGGCAGAGTGGCCTGTGCCATACAAAGTGTGCATGAATCCAGAACAGGGAACAATTTAGATAGATGGGCACTGCCAAAAATATCTTGGATTGGGGCTGGAGAGATGGCTCAGCGGTTAAGAGCATTGCCTGCTCTTCCAAAGGTCCTGAGTTCAATTCCCAGCAACCACATGATGGCTCACAACCATCTGTAATACGGTCTGGTGCCCTCTTCTGACCTTCAGGCATACACGCAGAAAGAATATTGTATACATAATAAATAAATAGATAAATAAATAAATAAGTGTCTCATGTTTAAAAAAAATATCTTGGATTTACTGAATGTTTATAACACAATTTATGATCATACACTCCGACAGAAAACTAATACGATTGCCAAGTTTGTAGGACCCTAAATTTAGCTACAAGATCCTAACTGGTGTTACAGTCTATAGTTAGAGAAGCTGGGATTTAGAAGTCAGCCCTGGCAAGGGGGCAGGCAGATCAGAACCACTTCTAACATTTGCAAGATCTAGGATGGGAGTGGAAGTGAAGATCCGTGTTTCTAAATCCTAAGATACAAAGCTAGCTGGAAAAACTATTATGGATTCCACAATGTCACTTTGAAATATGCCTTCATAATGACCAGGAAGACCAGGCTCGCATTTAGAATTCTGGGCCCTGGAGGTTTTCACCAAAACACAGCACGGCCTCCTCTCATGTCCCACATGATTTCAAAAATGATAATATTAAAATGTCTTTTCAATCTCTACGTCCTTGTGGGTAGACACAGTGCCCAGGTTGTAGCAGAGGGTTAACAGAATTTACAAGATAGTGTAGCTTAAGTAAGACTGAAATGGAGATAGTGTTTTCTTTTCTCAGAAAAGGGAAAGTTCAACAAATGTTAGTGTAGTCAGTGGATCCTATATGTTAGTGTAGTCAGTGGATCCTATATGTTAGTGTAGTCGGTGGATCCTATATGTTAGTGTAGTCAGTGGATCCTATATGTTAGTGTAGTCGGTGGATCCTATATGTTAGTGTAGTCGGTGGATCCTATATGTTAGTGTAGTCGGTGGATCCTATATGTTAGTGTAGTCGGTGGATCCTATATGTTAGTGTAGTCAGTGGATCCTATATATTAGTGTAGTCAGTGGATCCTATATGTTAGTGTAGTCGGTGGATCCTATATGTTAGTGTAGTCGGTGGATCCTATATGTTAGTGTAGTCA